CAAGAATCACAATGAATAGAGTTTCACGTCTCGGCGCATTTAAAAATCATCGTGGTGGAATTAAAAGATTGTACATTCAAATATAAAGCCTACTCAATATCTCCAATTATACACTTGCCTTTAAGAAATCACTATACCTAATCAGTAATATTTATCTGCAGTCTTTGTTGTGTGAATGCACATTCACCTGAATAAACAGGCCAACAATGAGACTCAAGTCTAGTATCAAATTAATGCCAAAAAATTGAGAATAATTTGAATTAGTATTTACTTAATAAAGTTCAATTGCAATTAATCTGTTGGGTTAGATTTGTGGTCACAGCTAACAAAGGAAAATGTATGTATTCCCTGTTACAGAAAATTCCACTCACAGAAGATATGGTGTTAACCTGATGGTATTAAGAAACATTTCATTACGCCTTTATGACCACATTGTACATGTTGTTAAAATAGTCCTGGTTAATCCTACTTCCAGTCAGCAATGTTTAATTACAAGTTTTATGGATATCTAACCCCAGAATGAAGCTGTCTTAGATTAAAGTCTAAATGTCCAGATCCAGGTTTAAATGTTGATATATATTTTCTCTTGGAAGTCAGTTTAACTTTGGTGAAATTGTCTGTCTTTATTTACAATACGGGTGTACAATGAATATATATGTATGTGTCTTAGGTGAATTCACATTTAGAAATTGACCTGAAAAATAAAAAATAAAATGGTCTGAATTCTATCATTATTCCAGTGCTATTTGAACATGATTTCAAATTAAAATCTAGTAGCTGTAAGCTGTAATACATGGATAATGCTAACTTTTTTTTTAAACAATTATGTTGTTTTTTTTACTAACCGAGTCGCTCCTTTTGGCCTTGATGGAAGCATGCAGGGTGTCTTTATACTGGATGTAACTGGACACCCGGAGAACGTGTTCAGTTCTAAGTTAACCTTATTTGGAGTTGTTCCTGCTGAATTGCTTACCCAAAGGTATTTAGTAAATTTGATTTGAGATAACCCTTAAATTCGTAGATGTGTGAATTCACACATATATAATGCTCGCATGTGAATATTAAACATATCAATTTTATCAATTATTTTTAATCCTATTCTTTACGACTGACTAGAGGTAATGCTATACCTGTAATGACTGAGTAATTAGGGTTAACTGTGTATATACACCTATGCATGGCAAGTGTCTATTCATAGATCATTGTATGATTGTTATCACCCCTACCTATAAAAACATATTAAAAACGTGTGATAGCAACGCCTGGTGAAACGCTTCACACACCATACCCTTTAACAACCTGAGTCGAGCCCCGAGTCGAGCCACGCATGTCCAGTCTGTTCTTAAAATATGACAAACAGTATACAGAAGACGGCTTAGATCTGGAAGTCTGGTTTGACTCAACTTGTGTACTGAAATCGGCGCTAAATAAATATGTCCCATGATCGTTTGGAATGAAAAATGATTATGAACAATGAAAATCTGGTAATGTGAGAATTTAGGTAAATATAAATACTAAGATAACTGTTAATTAAAAGGTGAGCACACAATTCTTTGATAGCTGATAAACCATATATGGTTGAAACACACGCAGGCATTGGGACAGAGCTCATTATAAAGTTCTGACAGGCCAGGATAGAGACCCGAAACCACACACTCCTTGGTATGATGTTGGAGCAATAAAATCGTTGATAAAACCCGTATCAGTTTAATGGCTAATGACCTACTGTAGATTGGAATTCAATTCCTGTGCTGTTTTGGGTAGTGATTTCTATCTCAGATTTAAAGATTACAAAGATTTAAAGTTTAATTAAATGTTTATTTTTTCCGATTTATTATACTGCTTCTCTTAAGACTGTTTTATTGTTTTGTACACAATCTAGAATATTTTAGATTAGTTTTACATGTTTTGTTTACGGTAAACAAGTATTTTTGTCTTCATGTTTACAATTAATGTATAAAATAAATTTGAAGTAGTCATATTTTCCATTGGTCCAGCTGATATCAGTAGCAACAGGAGTGATTGGAAAATCTACATCATATTCATTTATATATACCAGTAGAAAAACGTATATTATTAATTGTAAATCATTAAAATCATTTTTATCTTTATTGAAATACGGATGTATCAAATCTTTATGACTTTGTTATCTAATTTTTATTTTTTTTATTTTTTTTCAACAACTTATTGGTACATAAAGTACATGTACATTATACAATTTCTTAACGATTTGCTTAAGGCAATATACGATGACATGACATATTTACAATTGATCATCATGTTTAATCTGAAATATACATCGGAATAATTAATTTTCCTTAATGAGATTTTACTTCAATAGTATAGATTTACAGGTCAATAACGCCCCGAGAAGTCACTAGTGTATCGCTAACATTACAGGAAATTGTCGTTCTGTTGGGTGAGGTATGTCATTTCCTGTTTGATGACACAGTTAATAGCCTTGTCCTACGCGGTTCATTGTCTGTTCAATAACACCCAGTAATTACAACTCTGCCTATTTACTTTAGACACCTACAACATTGATTATTACGGCAATAACAATCGTGGCGATCAATGTCACACCAGGATATTTATAATGAGCTTACCATTTCATCAAAATCCATACTTCAAAGAACAATCGCCGTTACTTTTTAACATTAATGGGCACACATTCTGAGCTTTAGTGTTAATGGATCTATACTATTTGGTTAATTTCAATATAAATGTACATTGTGACAACTTCGTTTTACAGTGTTTTTTTTTGTCTATGCTTATCAGATAGTTATACATAATTAGCTTTGATGCTGTTACATCAAAATAATTGAAACAATAGTTTAAATAATATTCAGTATTACTAGATCAATCGATACAGGTTCATTGTGTACAAGCTAGGATCTCTCAAAGGAATATTCACACTGGTTATACTAACTAATACTTAATTCAATATACGTAATGTATTTCTTATCTGAAGTGCACAACCCAATCGTTTACTTGTCCTTACCATTTTTGAAACGAGAATTTTGAAAAGGTTAATCTCAACTTTCCGTGAGATTGGTCACAAGAGACTTCTATAAAATTTCTTATACTGCGTCTTTGATAACAAATTCGTGAACACACAAACTTATGTTGACATGAGGCTCTCCTTGGTTATATTCCTAGACCCCCTCCTGCCACCCGTATCTGAGGACCACTTCAATCCCCTACATGTCAAGCTAATGCAGTGTTTGATAGGTTTGATATTGACAGACTGAGTATGAATTATAAATCTTTGTATGAATGATTTGTTTGTTTACTTAGTTACTACTGTAAATGTATTTGGGACTGTATGCTGATAGACATATATAAGAAATATATGAATGCATTTTATACAATTGATGGCAAATCTTTTCTCAACATGCAATTGCATGTTACATACAATCACATACATATATAAATTTAATGCAAATTCACAGGTGATTATTTAAACCGAAAAATATAAATGACTTGATCTCCAATACGACAGACCTTTCTGGGGAGATCATTTGCAACCAGGTGAGAGGGTGAAAGTGTACCTCCCAGTCTTGTTGTCATACATTATAGAGGGTTTACAACCAGGTGAGAGGGTGAAAGTGTACCTCCCAGTCTAGTTGTCATACATTATATAGGGTTTACAACCAGGTGAGAGGGTGAGGGTGTACCTCCCAGTCTGGTTTTCAGGTATTATAGAGGGTTTACAACCAGGTGAGAGGGTGAGGGTGTACCTCCCAGTCTGGTTTTCAGGTATTATAGAGGGTTTACAAGCAGATGAGAGGGTGAGGGTGTACCTCCCAGTCTGGTTTTCAGGTATTATAGAGGGTTTACAACCAGATGAGAGGGTGAGGGTGTACCTTCTAGTCTGGTTTTCAGGTATTATAGATGGTTTACAACCAGGTGAGAGGGTGAGGGTCTACCTCCCAGTCTAGATATACAAGTGAGAAGAGAGGTTTACAACTAGGTGAGAAGTCATACCTCACAATCTAGATATACAGGTCGTGACAGGGTTTTACAACCAGGTGAGAATGCATACCTCCCAGGCTAGATAAACAGGCGATGGGAGGGGTTACAACCAGGTGAGAAGTGATCCCCCCCCAGTTTAGATATACAGGTGATGGGAGAGGTTACAACCAGGTGAGAAGTGATACCCCCCCAGTTTAGATATACAGGTGATGAGAGAGGTTACAACCAGGTGAGAAGTGATACCCCCCCAGTTTAGATATACAGGTGATGAGAGAGGTTACAACCAGGTGAGAAGTGATTCCCCCCCCCCCAGTTTAGATATACAGGTATGAGGAAGGGGTTACAACCAGGTGATACATCATACCTCCCAGTCTAGATATAGATATAAGGGGAGGGGTTACAACCAGGTGATACGTCATACCTCCCAGTCTAGATATACATATAAGGGGAGGGGTTACAACCAGGTGAGAAAGCATACCTTCCAGTCTAGATATATAGGTAAGTGGAAGGGTTACATTCAGAATAGATGATATGAATGTTCCAAACAAGTTATAAAGTAAGTTATAAGGCCAAACAAAGACATGTTTGTATATGTTACATGTCTGAAAAAAGCCTTAAAGGGTAGGTAGGTGATAATTATTCATTTTGTTTATATAGAAGAGTGATGTTAACTTTGACAGTGTTTCTGTGAAAATTGATAAAAAATATTTAGGGTAGGCACAAAATGAGGGTATGTAGGGTAACCGGAAACAAACATTTGTTATATTGACTTAAATAAAGTATGAAATGTCCTAATTCATATTTAGAGATGAATGAGAGATATACCATTATATTCAATTATATTTTAAAGAGAGAAATCATAGAAAATACATTACAAACACATACATAACATTAGGCAGACTTTGTAAGTGAGTGCTCTGAAGAACCTGATGAGCCAAACAGCACAGTGTGGAATGATGCACACCAAACACTGATTTCCTTCACAACTGATGTTTAATCCAGTGCCCCAGGACTGTGGTACCTACCCCTGCTAAGATGTGGGTATCTGTTCCGTAGGTTTTTCCGACCCGGTATTTGATTTGTGGACAATATCCCCTGTACCTGTAACACAAAGTATCAAAAATCAGCAAAGAAACTGATATATGATTTCATAATAATATTGTGGGAATGGAAATTCTTATTTGCTACAAAATTATATTTTCACATGAATCTCAACTTCAAGTAAGATGCTTATTGATACAAATAAATATTTCACTTTCTGTTTATAATAAAATTATTTAATTATAACTAAAATAAATTTAATTAATTATTAAATATACATCCGAGCCGGAGTTAGCTTTTACCGTATTACTGTTCCAGAAATATTTTAGACAAGAAGAATTACCACTTCTATATTTGTTTATCATTTTAAAAGTATACAGGTGTGTTCATAATCTTATAATCTATGTATTGTTTACATGTAATCTTCGTGTATAAAATGATGTATACATTTATGAATGAAAACGTTATAAATGTATGCATTATGTTAACGTTAGTTTGAATCTTTCTGATTGTCTGTATATTCTATAAACACGGATACCTTTAATAGATAACCTATCATAGCAGGCAGCCGTTCTCATGTCCGTCGTGACAAACATGTAAGTATTACATACAGGTGTGAACAACCAGAGATGACAGGTGACTTACCCAGGTACATGTGTCCCATCCCTCAGGGCGGCGAACGCGCGCCTCTGGTCCAGGGATGGCCCCCCTCCGAAAGCTACGGTTGTCATTCTACTGCGGTGGCTGAGACAGGTATCCCGAGTTCAATATCCTATCTATACACGTATATTACGATACTTGTTTGGATACGGCCCTCGGTCGTCTAGGGCGCCTCGAGTTGCTAAGGTGTTACACACTTCGCTGAGCAGCCAATGAAAGGTAGATTAAATGCCTAACTCGGCGCTGATATCACGAAAGGGTATGCACGCGACACGTTTACCTGTCTTGGAGCAGCACGCGACTTCATCGCAAATGACTATAACGGTGTACATGCTTACGAACGCTATTTTTGCTGTCCCGTTTGTGTCACCTTGATAAAAAAAACACAAATTGGAAGATGACATTATATATTATTATGTGAAAATCAAAATGATACGATAGGTAATATTCACTGAGATGTGTTGCTCGTTGTCAAACCATTAATGACATTGTCACCTGTACTAGTTGGGGACACAGGAAGCTTGTCAATACACATGCGTAATTGTATATTTACCTGTGACACAAAATCCAACATGGCCGTGCAGTTCGACAGGTGAGAGGATCAGATACAAAGATGGGGAACACGACTGTTGTGGCCTCCAATGTGAAGGCCCAGGGGGACAGCGACGTGAAAAAACTCTACCAGCTTGTCGATTTGAAGGGCGGAGGAGAGCTGATCGATCTCATGAAGAGGGCAAGATGGAGAAAAAATTATAAAGAAATTGATGAAAAAATACAGACGGACGTCAAAAAATTTCTCTATAATGATGGTGAAGGAAAGAAGGTGCCTATCGTTGATCTGATCATGACTAGGAGTAAGGAGAGGAGTAGTAACAGACCCAAGATTAACAAAAACAGACAGGAGAAGGACAAGGAACTGGCAATGATTGACATGAACTTTCCTGACGGCCAGGGCAACTACCTTCACAACAAACCAGGTAAACAGCTGCTGGACCAATGGCCGCGCGGCCTACTGGTTACGGGACGTTCTATCACGCATCAGTGTTATCACACGTACTTTAGTGGAGCATGTAATAATCACAGTTTAGCATAGGAAAAATTACAAGATTGTTGTTAATTATTTACATTTATTACCAAACTTAACAGATTATCTACTAATTAGGTAAAAAGAAAGGTATTTTCAGTCGACACATAGTTAAATAGGCGTTACAGTATATCATTGAATGACAGTTTAACTTAATGCAACAGTAGGTAAACAAGTGCATATGCATTAGTGAGCTTTATAAACTTTTATTTATTTAAAGTTCATATGTTCATTCATATAAAACACAAATCCGAAATAACTATATTTCCTTTCAAAAAATATCTGATGTGGCTGAGATGATATCTTACTTTACATATGATTTTTAGAGAAAATACAAAAGTCCAGTTGGCAGATTTAACCAAATTTAATTTGCTAAAAATGTCCATGTGAAAAGGGGCTATAAACTGAAGCGATCTCAAAAAACTATATTCAACAGTTTTCATGTTCTACCAATATCGCTCGGGCAAGTTTTAGGCCCATGGACCTCTAAGCTTGTTATTTTTCTTGATAAGTTGTCCTAGTCTGATTTTACATAATAAAGGTGCTCATTTTTATGCCCCATTTCGGCCTGAGTTGGGGGTATATATTATTTTCATTATCTGTTGTGTGTCATCCTAAAACAATGTCACTATGACTTAAATTTGACCTTTGACCTTGACCCCAAGTACTGTAACAATAATTTCCAGAGCACATCTCAAGTCACTTTCATAAACGGGCATCAAACTTTAGGTGTACATATTTGTACATCACAGGAAAACAATGTGTCTTATCAGGATCAATGACCTTTGACCTTGACCTTATATACTAAAGCAATTCATTCAGGAGCATGGGCATGCAAACTTCGTATAAAGTTACATTTAAACAAGATCAATGTGACTTTGATTTGACCTTGACCTCTAGTGGTTAAATAATGGTTTATGGAGAATATCACAATCGGTGTTTCATGAATGGTCATCAAACTTTATATATAGGTTCATCATGGGAAAGTGGTGGTCAAGCCCTCAAAATAGGTCAGTGGGACCTCAACTTTACCTTTGACCTTGAGAACAAGTACTGAAATACAGTGTTCCAGTCCTACAGGTTTCTGCAGTATATCTCGACCACTGTTTCACAAATGGGCTCCAAACTTTAGATCATGCAGGCAGTAGGGGTATCTGTGAAGCCCTGACTTAGTGTTGAATCTAATAAAATAACCTTCTTTTTTTTAAAATAATATATGTTTGATTCATACTTCTTCAAAGTGAAGATATGTGTTAAATTGGAAACATGCCTATTATGTATTAAAAAAGTATAACTGTGAAAAAAAAATAACATTCATTATGAAGAGCAACAAATGAGAATCGGATTCAAAGTATAACTTTTATATTTCTACAAATCTATGTTAACTATATGAAATAGATAATCTGTGTGTGCTGTAGAATGATTACTAATCCTGTATGAAATTCATATTTGTTGACTTACATATTNATGTATTTTTGGAGTGTGACAGAGATTTTTGTTTAAATTTCTCCCAACCAATCAAATAGCTAGAAAATCACTTGAGGTGTAACAAATGTAATATTTTGCATGAACAAATTAACACTAGAAATGTTATCTGTTATTCACTTTTGCATGCAACATAATTGCTTTCAGACGGTACTTCTCTGCCAGGTATGTATTGAGGTTGATGGTGAATTTGTGACGTAAGATTTACGTTTTGTATTTTCCCACTATCTGTGTTGTCATTGGTGTCCTGCTGCACACAACAAGAGCTTGATGTACGATGTATAAAAACGTAATTGTCATGTATTGTATCCTTGCTTGCCTCCATCCAATGTCGAGTACATGGGGTGCCTGTAGATATAGGGTATCATTTAGGTAGGGGTCGCATCGCATGCAGTAACAATCAACGAGTATGTGAAGATCATCGTTTAATGCCGTCACTGGTCTGCGATTACACAGAGTGAAAGCTGTAATACACAAGCGAAACATGTGACAATTACATTTAAAGTGAAAGCAGAACATTTCTGTACAACAAATCAATGTTTTACACATAAGAATTACCACACATGTAGGTGAATCATTTGCAATTCACAGTATTGTCTTTCACATTGAAGTAATTCATAATTACCCGGTAACATTCGCGTGTTACCGAAAATAGAGGTAACATTCGCCAGTNTACCGAAAATAGAGGTAGCACTGGCCAGTTACCGAAAATAGAGGTAACATTGGCCAGTTACCGAAAATAGAGGTAACATTTGCCAGTAACCAAAAATAGAGGTTACATGCTTCATGGTGTTGCTAGTTTGTTTTTCTGCCAGGAAGTTTTCATGTATATATGCGAAACAAAGGACGAAGTATCTGGAGAGTCCAGAAATTGTACGCATGGTGTCTCAGTTACCAGACTTTTCTCTCGTTTTATACCACAAAAGTCCGGTAACTGAGACGCCATCTGTGCAATGATTAAGATTGTGTACTTTAACAGCACAATATGATTAACAAAGTACTTCACAGTTTATATTTAATCATCTTGCCTGAATGACCACACCCCTCCCACC